ACATCCTCCACGACATGCTCGTCAAAATACTCATAATAAGGCTCAATGAATGGAAGGGGATAATGATCCTCCCTGATTGTGGTGTTGAGTTTCCTAAATTCAAAGTGAACTTTCTCACCACCTTGATTTCGATTGGGAACCTGTATCAAAGAAGGTAACAACCTATTAGTTGAAATGGGAATTGGAATTGGGATTGGAGACTTACAAACATATTGTGATGGAGGCTATAAAGTGGCAGCACTGTCGACAAAATCACTAGTGGTGCTCTCGGCCAGATTGGGTGTTTTTAGGGCAGCCACTCCAATTCCCTTTTCTATGGTGGTTATAGATGCATCCTTCTTGATAGGTGTTGATCGTTCCTGCCCTACATCTTTATTCACATCAATGACAAAACAAGGGTGAACATCATTAGGATTCTTAATAGATTCAGAAACATTGAATTTAATTATATCACCACCAAACTCCATTGTTAATGCTCCCTTGGCCACATCAATTTTGGTTTGGGCTGTTTTCATGAATGGTCTTCCAAGTAGGAGTGGCAATGGTGGAGAATAAGCCGAATCTTCCATTTCAAGCACATAAAAATCAGCCGGAAAGATTAAATGATCAACCTGTACCAAAACATCTTCCAAAACTCCTTTTGGATATGCATTAGAACGATCGGCTAATTGAATAATAACTCCATCATTTTTAAGCTCTCCTAAGTTCATAGATGCATAAGTAGAGTAAGGCATGACATTAATGGATGCACCTAAGTCTAACATAGCATGTTCAAATCCTGTATTACCAATTACACAAGGGGTGAAACTACCTGGATCTTTGCATTTAGAAGGCAATTTCCTTTGCAACATTGCAGAGACATTTTCACTTACATGTACCACTTCCTTGTTCAAAATCCTTTTCCTTGTTGTGCAAAGTTCTTTCAAGAATTTGGCATACTTTGGAACTTGTTTGATTGCATCAAGGAGAGGGATATTGACTTGTACCTTCCTAAATGTCTCAAGAATGTCCTTGTCACTCTCTTCTTTCTTTGATTGCAAAAATCTGTGAGGGAAAGGCACATTTGATGGAATAACATTAGAAACAATTGAATTTGGACCTAACTTACCTTTGTTGGACGTCATAGGAGATTTAAGTGGCTACAGCAAGGGTTGCTCCACCCTTGCTGTGGCTTTGCCTTTGTCCTCCTCCTCTTGCAGCAACTTTTCATCCTCCTTTTGGCTTTAATTGGGTGGTTGTGGGGTGGTTCCAACTTGCTTGCCACTTCTTAACATGATAGCATTGGTGGTTTCAAATCCTCATCTTGGATTCACAATGGTTGAACTAGGCAGTTTTCCTTGTTCTCTAAACTGCCCCATGAATTCTGCCATTTGCCCCATTTGCTTCTCCAATTCATCCACATTTTTAGCTTGATTTTGTACTCCTTGCGTCAAAGATGTGAGTAAATGAATAACTTTATCATTATCCAAAGATGTATGTGAGTTTGGTTGAACCAGAGATGGTTGAGGTTGCATTGGTGCATATGGCCTTTGAAAAATCCCAGGGTGTGGTGGATGAAATCCTCCTTGTTGTTAATTAAGGTTGTTGAGGCGCCCTCCACTTCATGTTTGGATGATCTCTCCATCCGGGATTGTAAGTGTTTATGTATGGATCATATTTGGGCTGATTTTGGCCTTCAAAATCCCACAGCATAGGCACTCTCCCATCCTCCATTCTCTATCAATTGAGGACATTGCTCAGAAGGGTGTCCTTGCATGGTGCACACGCCATATACACTTGCTTTTTGCACTTTGGATCCATCAACAACCTGTGACATAAGAACAGTGAGATTAGCCAATTGAGATTGAATTTCAGAAATTGCACTTACCTCATTCACTTTTGTAATAGTTGTCCCTTATGCAAGAAGTCTAGGTTACCTTTTTCAAGAGCTCAATGTAATTCAACTTCTCCTCTACAATTAATCCACACTGATATTTGGGGCCCAGCTCATCTATCTTTGGTTTCTGGTTTCAAGTATTACATTATTTTTATTGATGATTGGTCTCGATTTTGTTGGCTATATCCTTTAAAATTAAAATCTGAGGCCTTTAAAGCTTTTCAGAATTTTAAACTACAAGTTGAAAATCAATTTGATCAAAAGATCAAAGCTATTCAATGTGGTAATGGGGGAAGGGGGGGGAATATACAAGCAATGCTTTTAAGTCCTTTTTCACATCTCATGGAATAACATAACAATTTTGTTGCCCACACACACCTAAGCAAAACGGTTTAGTGGAGAGGAAGCATAGACATATTATTGAGCTTACTAGAACTCTATTTGCTCAATCAAATCTTCCTCTCCAATATTGGGTAGAAGTGCTACAAACTTCGGTGTATCTTATCAATAGAACACCATCTTCTACTCTTAAATTTGTAGCACCACTTCAAAAACTATTTCATTGCCCACCTGACTATTCATTCTTAAAGGTGTATGGTTGCACTTGTTATCCATGGCTAAGACCCTACTCCAAACACAAGTTTGCTTTTTCGAAGTAAATAATGTGTATTTATTGGATATGGACTTCAAAACAAAGGATATAGATGCTTGGATCTTGTCACAGGTAATGTCTGCATTTCCCGAAATGTACCATTTGATTTTGATGAAGAAACCTTTCCATTTCAATAATTACATTCCTCTTCACCACCTGTTCAAGAATCCCACAGACAACAATTGCCTTCTTTTTTACGTAATCCTCCCCACCCTCCACCTCACATGCCATCAACCACAACCTTATTACCTTCACAGTCGTCCCCACCAATATCATATTCACCTCCTCATAGCCCCTTTATCACAAATCCCAACCAAACATCACTCACTCACATGCCAAATATAACCTTTTCACTTTTCTCTTCACCCACATCACCACAAAATACAACCCATGGCTCCACATCTCCTCAATCTCCTTCCGGACCCACTACCCATTCCACTAATCAAAACCTTTCCTTACCACTTCATATTTCACCTGACCCACCACCTCTCACTCTTCCACCAACCACTACCAACATTCATCCCATGCAAACCCGTTCCAAGTCTAGTATATATAAGCCCAAAATTCTATCTATTTGCCATCCCTTTTCTAGTGCCTTATCCACTACTCTCTAAATACCTACTTCCACCACCTTCAAACAAGCTTCTTCGGATCCTCATTGGCAAGCAACAATGGTTGCAGAAATCGAAGCGCTCAAGTCTGCAAGCACCTGGACGCTTGTCCCACCACCTCATTCTCACAACATTATTGGATCTAAATGGGTGTATTGAATCAAATACAAGGCTTGGATCGATATAAAGCATGCCTTGTTGCTAAAGGGTTTCTTCAACAACATGGTATTGACTACCATGAAACATTCAGTCCGATAGCTAAACCAACAACTATTAGACTCATTATCACTTGATGTCCAGTTCAATTGGGAGATTACTCAATTGGATGTCTCCAATGCCTTCCTTCATGGTATGCTTCATAAAGATGTGTACATGGCACAACCTCAAGGTTTTATTGACCCTCATAAACCTCATTTTGTGTGCAAACTTAACAAGTCTCTATATGGTCTCAAACAAGCTCTACGAGCTAGGTACGAGGAGCTCTATCGTTGTCTTCTAGTTCTTGGATTCCGCTCCTCTATAGCAGATCCTTTTCTCTTTGTCAAGGCTAATCACTCACTCACTTTTATACTTGTTTATGTTGATGATATTCTGAACATAGGAAACTCTTCTTCTCATTGTGAATCTTTGATCAACAAGCTCAGTACTCAGTTTGCTATGAAAAATCTTGGCCTACTGCATTTTTTTCTTGGTATTCAAGCTCATCAAACAGTTGACACGCTCTTCTTGTGTCAAACCAAGTATGATCAGGACCTCCTAACAAAATCCAACATGCTTGATTCGAAACCATGTGCATCACCTTCATCTGCTTCCAAACTTGCTTCCTACAATAGTGCATTGCTTCAAGATCCTACCATGTACAGATCATTGGTTGGTGCTTTGCAATACCTTACATGGACAAGGCCTGACATTGCCTTTTCTGTTAATCAAGTTTGTCAACATCTTCAGAATCCTAGAACAACTCATTTCACAACTATGAAGTGGATTCTCCGTTATCTCAAAGGGACACCAGATCATGGACTTCTTCTCACCAAAGGCTCTACAAATATTACTGCTTTTTCGAACACTGATTGGGCCAACATTCTACATTTGGCTTCTGCATATTCTTTGGCAACAATCTCATTTCATGGAATGCCAAAAAGCAACCAACCGTCACTCGGTCTTCCACGGAAAGTGAGTATCGTTCTCTAGCCCAAACAGCTGCTGAAGTATCATGGATTTGCTACCTTCTCCATGACCTTTGCTTCTATCTCCATAATCCCCTGCTGCTCTTATGTGACAATCAAAGTGCTCTTGCTCTTGCTGCCAATCCTAGTTTTCATGCAAGAACGAAGCATATCGAGATCGACTATCATTACATTCGTGAATTGGTCATAAACAAGTTAGCTGTTGTATCATATGTAACCTCTCACAATCAGCTTGCTGATATATTCACTAAAAGCTTGCCCAAAGCTCGTTTCAAGCTGCTTAGTTCCAAGCTAACTGCTCAATCCCCGCAGCTTAGCTTGAGGGGGGATATTAACCATAGTCCAGTGAACAGAGCCCATGGTGCTACACCTTGCCAAGACACCTGTCCAATTGATCAACACACCCAACACTCACCTAGAACCATCTCAACGGTACATTGACAGCAAGGCTTGGACAGCTGTGCATAGATAAGGATGAGCAAGAAGAATATTCTTCTAGGGTTTCAAATGCAGCCATGTATATAAATACTGTTGTTTTCACTCTTTATCTTGTAAGGTTTCAAGGTCTGCCGTTTCCCTTACTTCTCTTACAAATAGCTTGTAATATTTTTCATACTCTTTTCAACATACAAAGATGATTCTTACTCTCAGCTTTGCATTTCAACGGGTCTCAATCTTATATCTTGGAGCTCATCTAAACAACTTACGGTTTCTCGTTCCAGGCCCGAATCGGAATACTGTGCTCTTGCTCATGCGTGTGCGGAATCCATCTACTTATGTTTAGAGACTTTCTACATTTAATTCCACCTATTGGAAATGCGCAAAGAATGCTAAATAATTCCATCTACCAAGAGTCCAAAATTTAGGAAAACGCAATTTTTGGAGTTTGCATTTACCTCCAGAAGAAGTTGGTGGTTCAGATTAATTTTAGGTCTCTTAATTTCAAACTAAATATTCTAAATTGTTTTCTTATTATCTTCTCTCAGATCACCCATAACAAAAGAAGAAGAGAATGAAAGCAGAGCTAATGATGAAGCGCCTGAGAAATTATTTTCTTAGGCCGTCAGGTTTCTCTTCATTGTTTCTCTGATCTAAATTAATTTACTACAAAGGTGGGTAACACACATTGGGGTGCATTTAACTTTTAAGTTTATAGCACACTCTTTAGAAGACGACCCATAATCTGGTTGCCTTGGCCAAAATCTCCATGGCGAGCCCAGCGCCAACAACACCTGAAAAAGAAAAGGCTGTTCCTGCAAAAGTTGAAAGTAATCTCTCTCTCTCTCTCTCTCTCTCTCTCTCTCTCATATTCAATGCTTAAGGTGTTTTAGCGGTTATATTTGATTTTCATAACAGTTTGAATAATTTATTTTTAATTTCAATCATTCATTTACCGTATCACTTAATGCCACGTAGCATTGAAATTAGTTTTTCCTTATGCTCCTACTTTCTTAGAGATTTTTCTTATTATATTTCCTAATTTATGTATGAACTTTATAATGTCATTTGTCAAATAAAAAAAATAAATATAAAAATAAAACATTGTATATTGGCCATCTGAGGAGAAATTCTTAATATGCCACTGTGTTATGTCCCTATACCTCAAATTTAAGTGCAAACCTAGAGTTACAAGTTTCTATAAAATTTTAAAGCTCCTGTGATGCAATGCAAAACCATTTGTTATATAGGTAGTTTCGAAACATTTCTATCTTTTCTTTTGCCCGTTTTAGTTTTTTATTGTAATTAAGAGTGAGTCTATATGATAAACAAGGGAAATAGATCAAGAATGATAAAAGTGGTAATAAAATTTAGGAATAAAACGTTAAACTATGTGTGTAGCTTTTTTTTTCTTTTCATTTCTACAATTTTTTTTCTCACTTTATTCTTCTTTTTCTTTTTTTATGATCCGTCACGAGTTGGGTGGTTCATATACATGTAAGTTGGTATATGATAGCATTACATTAAGAAGTTGTTGAGAGTATCCATCCTACCTTGAGAAAGAAGGAACCTTGTATATGTTTATATAAGTAATTGATTTATATTTCATATCTTGTCAATTGGTTTTATGGTGAAACTCAACTACCTTCATAATATCAGAGCAGGTTATTCGGCATGTAAAGCTCAATGGGACACGTGCTTCACATCATCTAATTCGTGTTGTTCACATGATATGCTTGAAAATTTGTCACAAATAGGGGGCGTCTTGAGAGTATATTATTCCACATCGAAGAAAGAAATGACCTTGCATGTGCCCATAAATAATTGAACTGCTCCCTACATTGTCAATTAATTTTATAGTGGAACTTACTTCATTTAGTTGGTAGCTAGGTCCTCATGTATCATGAACACAACTTCTAATTATGGATTCTCTTTTTCTGTTTACGCAGAGGATGCAGGTTTAATTAGAAAAGGTAATTGGTCGGGCACACTTTGAAGTTTCTTATTTTATGCCTGCATTACGTGGTGATTTGATTATTTAATTAACAAACAGTTTATTCCCTCAACTTCGTACTTATATCATTTCTTGTGCTTGCACAACAGTTTTGTCAATCAAGTCATTGGGTTTAATCAAAGCATGGGAAGAAAGCGAGAAAACAAAAGTAGATAACAAGTAATACATTCAAAACCATTTCAGCTTTTTAGCACATTTGCTAAATTGATAGGAGAAACATGGCACATTTATACAACGTAATTAATATAGATTATTATCCATTCATTAACAGGTAAACTTTTAAAATCCATTGTTTAACTTGTTCAAATTGTTGAACAGAGCAAAGAAAAAGTTTTCTAATGTTGTGGCTTGGGAGCTAAGCAAGCAAGCAACCATTGATGCACGTCAAAAGAAATATGAGGTAATTGATAGACTATTTTGAATTAGAGAAATTTCCCATACCATTTTCTTTATCGTGCACATTCATATTTATTTTTTGTCTCTTCACTTGTAAGTAAGAGGTCTTAGGTTCAATTCTCTCCGAAGGCAAGTTTGAACCATATTATTACTAGCCTATTATGAGGCTAAGTCTACCCCCTCCCCCTTCCCTTAGTGTAGATAATATCGTTCGTTCAAAAAATATATATTTATTTTTGGTCTTTGGATCAAATAAAGTAAATTTAATGGACAGAAATAAACAGGCACATATAGAAGGAGAAAATTGTGTGCAAAAATCACTTCTCTTGAATTAGGATTGCACGGCATTGTGGTTACCCGTACGGTGTTAGAGATGCAACGGTAGTTATAGTAGTATTTGCCCACCGGGTGACGAAATTATAAGGTCTTCTTGGATAGACCATCTCATTCCTATGACCCATACATATAAATCTTATCTAACTTAAGTGGTGGTGATGCTCACTATCATATTAACTATCATTAGATGAGTTTAAATTTCGAGATTTACATAGTAAATAAGCATACTTATTAACGATAATCAATATAGTGGTGGTATTCACTAACAGTTTAGATTAGTGAACAAAAACGCACTCAGGCACACCCGTTGCATTATGACCCCACTCACTTCTCTTTTGACCTCACCCAATGAATCTTGACCGGACACAACCCATTGTGCGGCCGCCCGCACCAAAAGTCTCTAATATCGGGTACCAACTGCCCAACCCTACTTTTGGATTGAACACATATTTAAAAGCTTGTTAGTCACCAAATGATCTAACTTATGAGAATATTTCATTTTTTTTAAAGGAAGACGATAAATTATTGGCTTGAAACTGAAGGTTACATCATATCTTGAATGAGGAGATTCTGAATAAGATCAGGAGATCCTCGAACCAAACTATCACATTGCAAATTGAAGTAGCAAACTGAGCCAATCTATGAGCTATTCCATTACATGTTCTAGAGACGTGTAGAAACTTAGCAGGGTGTAGAGTTTTCGCAATCTGAAAAGCATCCTCTGCTAATAAACCCTAAGCCACATCAGATATGAATACATAACATAACAAATGAAATTTAATGCCACATCAGTTGGAACTCGAGATATTCAAAATAGAAAATTAGTTTGTTTTTAAGTCCATAATTAAGTCTTCTTTTGAGTTTTGAGGTTTTATATATGCTTCATTATATCTCAGTAGTATATATATTAACTACGAAGGCTGCTGATTACCGTTGCTTTCTAAATATGTCTAATGTTTGACAGCAAAAGCTAGAAAAGAAGAAGGCTTTGTACATTGAAAAGATGCAAAACAAACTAGCTGAAATCCATAAGACAGCAGAAGAGAAGAGGGCGATGGTTGTAGAGGGGAAAAGGATAGAACGTAATAAGGTGGACAAGAAGGCTGATGATTTCCGTGAGGTAGGGCTTGTACCAAAGAAAATCCTACCATGTTTTAACTATTGAATCAATTTTTAGTTTCCTAAGAGCAGTTCCACCCGTTTTAAGAGGGCAAGGGCTAGAGCATGTGAATTGCTCTTGCTTGCATCTATGCAACTCCACCCATTGAGCAAAGGCAAAGGTAATGGCGATTACTATTCACAAATTATTTGTTTTATGCCTTGTAAATGTGTTTAAGTGTGAACTTTGTAAGTTTTTTCTTTGAAAATAAACTCCATATTTAACTCCAATTTCAAATGAAGAGCAAAGCATAGCATTACAACATAGTACGATATTAAAATAATATTATTCTCAATTGCCTACAACCTAGGGCATCCAAGGCATGGTGCTAGGGCTCCAATGTATAGTATAAATTTGTATTTCGGAGTATGCTCCAGAACGTTCCAACATTCGTGCTTAGTGAATCATTTGTTTTGGTTATGAAGATTGAACCACATTTGTGCTTGTAGTTACTGAAAAAAGAATTGTGAAACAACATAATAATTTAATTAATCAAATGATTACTTTTTAATCACCGAAAGGTCCAAATAAGAACATGTTAATTATATTTGAAATTCATTAAGAGTAAAATGTTGTAACCTTATTGGCTAGATTATTGTCACTTTGATAAATTGCTTCTGCCTTTGTGAGGGCTTCTTGCCAAGATTTCAACTCTTTATAATATGGATGCTTGTACCTATTCGATAAGGATTGCTTGGTCTAGGATTTGCTTTGAATCTGCTCGACAAATTGTGCATGAATCTTCTTCCACATTTGTTGCACCACTTGCCCTCTTCAATTTGGCCCGCGGAGGTGGTTTTTGAATTAAAGGGCATGTTTTAAGCCCTTACCCTTGCTATCTATCCGGAGTCGTTTCCGTTGTATGCCACTAGGTCCCTATGGACAAGGGGACAAGTGAATCATCATCAATGCTTGAAGATGCTCTAATACTAGTTTATTTTAGCATAGAACATGTGACAATGATATAGTATTAGGCATAACAGTTACATGTTACACCCTGTACCTTCAAATATTGTATTTTATTCTCGAACCATGTGAATTGACCAAATTGCCCTTGGATGGGTGTCTTGAGAAATTTTCAAGCCTTGACTCGAACTTTAATTTCTTATACTTTCTTAGTCTTCGTAAATATTCATGTCATTCGAATGTGAGATAGAAAGTAAAATTTAAATCAACATGAGGGTCAATTTGTAAATTTACAACTATGAAAGGACAAATTTGTAATTTCACTTTATATATTTTAAAGTGGGTTATACCCACTCTCGGCCTCTCTTCCCTCACTTCATGTTGCTCTCTCTATCTAAACTATCTCCCTCTCTGCAACTTACACTCTCTAGCACCAAGAGAAAACCCTCACCACTCACGATTCCGACCAAAACTCAACCCCAATACTGTATATTTGGAATCCTTGAGACCTAGGGAGTTCGAATATGGTCATGCATGCATCAACGGGGCATCATAGAGTGCTCTGCCATTGAAGGCGATAGCCCAAGCACTTAAACTTGAACCCAGGTAAGGTTCTCTATCTTATCTTCGAATCCCTGAGTTATTTTCATGTATGTGATGTGATGTGATTTTGGTGGTGAATGCGAGGGTTTAAACATCTATTATTCCTTTGTGCATGCATCCCTGCACCGAAGATGAACTTCGGTGAAAAACCGTTGAGTTCGAAGCCACCTGGGGTGACATTCTCTGTGTCTTAATTCGTGTGGCCTTGAGGATGAAATGTAGGTGCTTTCAAGTTGAGATCGAAGACCCTACCTGTGCATGCACTGTGTTTCCTTTTTCCAAAATCCGGCGAACTACTTAAAGCCAAACCCGTCGAATCCCAGGTGGATTGGACCTCTCCTTTTCCTAAAATAGCATTAGGTAAGTTTCTGAGCTTCTTTGGACTTATATTGATGAATTTTGGTTAAGAAATACGTTGAATTCGAGCTCGTGGAGGTCTTAATCGATTTCTAGAATTTAATAGCAGTTTCCGGCGACGAACGGTGCTGAACGGCAATGGACGGCGGTGAAAGGCGTCGGCCACCGTTAGAATTGACGACGCAGACTGCTATTCTATTAGAGTTAACAGAATCAACTAAAGGTATATTTTGTTAACCCTTATAATATTCTCCGACGACCGGCGCGTGGCACCAACAACGACGTGTGTGACGCATACTCGCCAAACAGAAACGGCACGTTCGCCAACGATGGCTCATGGTGGCGCGTGGCCGGAGCACAACGGTGTGTGGTGGCATGTGCACGACCCGAGACTTTAGGGTTTTTTTTGTGTTCTGAGTCATGTGGTGCCCTCCATTTGTGCAAATTCAAAGCCTAAATGGAAGCTATGGATTAATTTTCATAAATTGACTATTAAAGCTCATTTTAAGCTATATGTCAAATTCACAGGTTTTGTGTAGATTAAAAAGGAACCAGGCAAGGAGCTTAATAAGGAAAGACGCTCTGCTTACCTGTGAGTGACCCATTTGAAAATAAATGTTTTTAAATAAACTATTATTAATGTTGATGCATATTAATATTATTGTTACACTACTACAAAAGAGGTTATCACTGACGGTGTAAAAACCAACAATAAAACCCAATTACTGTTGGATTTTTGGTAAAAATCCAACATAAAGTCGTGCAATGTCGGCTAGGTGAAGCGACACCATTGCCACCGTCACCAAAAGGGTATTGACGTCAGTTAGTCCATTTAATTCGCCACCAAGAAGCAAAGTAATATAAAATAGAAAAGAACAACAGCGTCGCTTAAAAGCGACATCCAACATTACGTCGGTTAGAAGCGACGTTAATGTCTGACATGATGGTGGTTCTAAGCGACGTCAAGCAACAATTAAAGAATTAAAATATCAAACCTACTATCGGTCCTAACCGACATCACATAAAAGTTAAACAAATAAAATACTCAAACTACTGTCGGTTTTAACCGACATTACATAACATATGGATACATAAAATAATTATTATGTTGTCGTTCATAAGCGACACCAAATATATTAATAATATTTAAATAAATCTTTTTCCATTTTTAATTAATAATAATTAAAAAAATATATAAAAATAAATCACACCATATGTCAATGAAAAAACAAACAATTTTAAGCAAACTTCATGTTAAAAATAAAATTTCTACCAACTATATATTAAATTTAAAATTAACTACAATTCCTAAAAATGTACAACCCATACAAATTCTTCTCGAACTCTTGCAAAAGATTTTGAACCGGTTGTGTGGTTCATAGTTTTCAACTGCCAATTATGCTTATTTTTTTCGGCAATCTCCTGAAAAATAAAAGAATTTATTAGACAAATTTCAAGGTATAATAAAATAAATCATGAAATGTTTACCTTTGTTTTTTTCTTTATTCCAGTATGCCACCATCGGAATATTTCTGTAGTCTCTAATCTCTACCGCTACATGTTTCTAAAACGCACTAGAATTATCACTAATGCATTTTCCAGATGAATCAAACCAACAAGGCTGTTCTTTCCAATTTGGAATTGAGGGTCCACATCTCCGTTGACTTGATCCTTATAAATACAAAAAAAAATAATTAAAAACCAAGAAACAAAAATAAATTTTCAATTTAAGCATAAAACTAGTTAGAATACAAAATAGAAACTAAAATTAATAATCATAATAATTTACAAATGAACCACCTTCGAGCTTTTCCTCTTCGAATTGGAGTTCCTCAGAATGTTGATCTTCAAAATGGTGATCCATAGAAAATTGGGAAGGAGAAGAGGAAAAACAGAAAAGGAGGAAGAAGGGGACACACGGATGAAATAAGGAAGAAGAAGAAGAAGAAAGACTAAAATTGGGGGAGAAATGAAAGCACGGATGAAATGGGAAAAATAGGGGTTTAAACATGGGTACTTAGTTGGTGTCGGCTTAAATCGGCATTGATTGACTGATGTCGAATTAAATGTAAATGACGTCGGTTTTAATTGACGCCAACGTGACACTCTTTACTGATATTCATGCCGAGTCAAATGAACCAATCAACTTTCTGACACTCTTTATTGAAAATACAGTGACGGTTTAAATTAATGTTGGTGTCGATCTTAACCGACACCACCTTCTGACACACTTTTTGGAATTCATGTAGCGTCGGTTTAATGAAACTTATGTCGAATTAAAAGATGATAACGTCGATTAAAACCGACACTAAGTCTGAGAATACATTTCCTCTACAAAACAAGCGGGAAACTTCCCACCTAATATTTCAAATTATCCATCCATTTCCCGCCTGATGTTTATCCATCCATTTCAAATTATGTCATACAACATTTTAAGATTTTAATAAACAAAATTTAGCTTGATTAAAATATGTAATAAAAACCATAAATATAATTTTATTATAATTTACCATCACATACTAATTGAAACATAGTCTAATTAATACCTAAAATATATAAAATAATTAATATCGGTTTTAAATTGAAGATCAAATTCATTCATAAATATAATTTTATTATAAAATATCGATTTTGTAGTATCCACTAGTATAAATATTTTAAATTAAAGATCGAATTCATTTATTGTATTCATATAGGGTCAAGGAGTGTAGCTATAAAAAATAATCAAAATCGGAGTTAAAGTAACAGTAAAATCGTGATTTTTCGTTTTATAACCGTCGAAAAGTTTTATCCCGTTACCTTATCTCTGAATGTTTGTTTTTTTGCAATTTTTGGCGTATGCAATCTCAAAGTATATACAAACAAGTTTGACAGTTGGATCATTGAAATTAGTTTCGTAGGATGCATATCCCATCAAAACGATAGATTCACTAACACTTAAAGTTTATTTATACTTTCATTAAGTATACCATAAGATTTTGTGGTATCTACTAGTGTAAATATTTTAAACTAAAGATCGAATTCGTTCATTGTATTCATATAGAGTCAAGGAGTGTAGCTATAATTATATATATATATATATAATTATTATAGTTTTTAGGGGTATAAAATTGTTAAATTAATATATATAATTATATAATTATTATAGTATTTTTTTTAGGGTTATAAAATTATTAAATTAATATTTTGCTTATCGTGCATCATGTTACCTACGTGTATACCTGAACCAACCCGTTATCTTAACAGGTGCTTATTGGGTTACCCGATTCGTTATCTTGCAGACCCGAACACCTATTAATTTTGTGTCATATCGTGTAAGGGTTATCAAGTTGTGTCAGGAATTGCCAGGCCTAGTGCAGCCAATCCATTTGTAGACTTTTCTATATCTAACAATGTTCCCACCACATTGTCACATACATTCTTCTCAATATGCATAACATCAAGATTGTGTCTAATCAACAGATGCCTCAAATGAGGAAGAGAAAACACAAGGAGGGTATCCACCACTCATCGCCTAAAATTGACACTGTTTTCAAAATATTTTAAAAAATTAAAACCTATGTTGGCTACAACCGAGACCAACTTTGAAAATATTTCTTTAAACCGACGCTAACATTATGTCGGTGACAACCGACACCAGGTTTCAAAAATTTTAATAAAAATTAAAACCTATGTCAACTACAATCGACATTGTCTTTGAAAATATTTAAAAATTATCATTAGTGTCGCCTAGAAGCGACACCAATTGTCTTTTAACCAACGCTAACGTTATGTCGGTTAAAAGCGACACAGTTTTTTTTTTAATGTGACACTAGTATTAAAAATATTAAAATTAATGTCGGTTATAAGTGACATTAACAGTTTATGTCGGTTATAACAGACAGTAACTCCGACACCATATTATGTAGGTGTCAGAATGTCTTATCTGCCACTATGTTGTATAAAAGTGACACCACCCACCAATACAATAAGGTCGTTTTGTAGTAGTGTTAGTCTTTGACGAGTCTTAAGTATGATTAGTTTAAATGATATCTTGAGACTATTGGTGATTTATTTTCATCACATGGTTATCATACATGTTATATAGCTAGCTACGGCTGTAGGTTTATTGCAGGTACTGATATTTCTAGTAGAGGTTTGATTCACTAATAGAGGCTAGGCATCGATCAGGTAGATGCAATTTCACCTGCTTGCTATACAACTTGATTTACTTTGATTACGTGATTGATATTATTTTCTTTGATATGACGAAGTTGTGATATGAATCAGGTTACAATTATGGTAGTACTACATGTATATTATTTCCAAATGATTTTAACTAGATAAACTTGATCCACTCACCCTTTGTTTTTCAACCCCTTAGGACATAGCAAGAACAAAAAGATAACCCTGGGAGTGACGAGTGGACTTGGCAGTGATGATTTCACCTTTGGATTTGGTGATGATTCCTTTACTGCAATTTTATCTAGTTTGTAATAATCGCGTAATCGTACTTTTGATTATGCACTGCTGTTAACCCTAAAAACTACCAAATCTACGTGGCATGCAGGCTGAGTAACTAATGAGCTAACTATGTCATTCGGTTATGTAAGGGGCATGCCAACTCGATAGCCAAGCTTGACCGAGGAGTAAAATATGTTGATTTCACGTTGAGCACGCTGCTGACTTCTTGATCTTGCGACTGCGGTCGAGGAAGGAACACGTCTCAGCCTTCAGGTTCTAGAGCCTGAAGACAAGGCTGCTAGTTTTGTGAAGATCACAAATCATCGGTGCCATGTTTGGTCACGGTGATTATATTTGCGAGAGTATAAGCATTCTGAACTGGCACTAGACTATATGGACACAAATACTCAAAAGAGATGTATGTTTTGATGGTAAATATGGTTCGGCCGTCAGAATGCCGAACTCTAAAACTTACTTACGAGTATCCAATCATAAAACAACTCGGCTTTCAATGTGCCAAGCCTAATAACCTGTAACACCTCACTTTGACGAGAAGGCTAATAAGATGACCTCTACCAACAAGGACTCGAAAATGCCTATCGACCGAGACTTGGATAGGTAATCAGTCAGTCTTGAATCAGTGTTATTTATCCAAACTAAAGGTGCTCCTCGGTCGGCTGATTCTACGACTACAATGTTATTTATCCAAACTGAAGATGTTGTCGATTGCCTTCACAATGCTATTTATCCCAACTGAAAATGTGTTGACGGGAAGAAAGGGGAGGAGGATAAAATCTTAAAGGTTGTTGAGAAGCTTTGCGCAGGGCAATTTGTGTGTTGGATTTGAGGGGGCACTAAATGATGCACTCCCTCCTCTATTTATAGTAGCAAACCTTTTCCTAGCTGAACTAGACTTGTACTTAGATTAGTACTCCTCAACCTAATCTGATTAGGCCTCGGCCAATCCTAACTCCAATAGGACTCTAAACCAAGCTCTTTAACAAACCACATTCATCTCAAAATCCTTAGCCTTAAAGATTCATTGTTGCACTAGGTTTCAGCTATCCCCTTATCTAAACCAATCTTCTTCATAATGAGATACAAAACTTCTAGCTCTTCAACTACAACCTCAAAGCCTTCTTTCGAAGCAAACATTGCCTACAATCCCAAAGATCTAAAACTTTTACAGCTCTACCACCCCGTAGTATGATTCAATTGACATGTAATTCCAACCACCCTGATTTCCTCTCTGAGGCACATGTTTTTTCTAAGTCTAGTCTGATACCAATGATCTCGGTGGACTTCTCTAGCATTATCACCCCTTTCACCGCCTAAATCTTTCTAGAGGTTTACAATTTTTTTTTTACTTTTCTAGTCAATTTACATTTTAAGTCCTGTAGCTTGGCCTATTGGCTTAGATTTTACTTTTATAAACGTTTGTAATCTCGGCTTCATCATGAAATCATTGCATTCTATTTCTTGTTTTTGTTTTCATTTCTATTTCATTTACGTTTTAGGCAAAAGCACACAAAGTTACATTGAATTTTAAGTCCTCATTCACTCGAGGCACATAAAAGCACTTAACCGAACCAACTTCTCACTTCATTTGGTTAAGAAAGCCAGATTTACGTGAACTTCCACACACACTCAAACCTAAACATTGTCAGTTGGTAGCCTCCAACAGTGGCGCACTTGTTCTCTCTTTCTGTTGAGTTATCCAGTGGCATTGAGACTGAAAGCCACACTCGAGGCAAATACGTGTTCAACCCAGTCTAGACTATGTCCAAATTTTGACACCAACATAGCCATTTGAGTTAAACTTCTATTCTCGTAGTTTATATACTTGCACTTTTAATTCTTTATTTATCAATTGGCTCATACTCTATGATCTAAATATGGTAATTATCCAGATTGAAAAAGCTAAAACTTATCTGGTCCCTATTTGTAAAAGACTCAGTCAAGCAATCTGGCATATTGAATTTAATCCCATAATTAGGAGAGTAATTTTCTGTTTATCGTCCAAAAAGTAATGGAACTTTCTTCACGTGTCCTCCATATACCATGCAATTCACATTCTCCACTCATTAACCCATTTGATTATGGACCTGTAATCTCTACTTTTGCCAACTACAAGAAAAGCTGAGAGGTCGTGGAAAAATATCCGAGTTAGTTCAATCTCTGTCAAAATTCCAAGCAATTTAGAGATTGAACTTCCACGGTTTCTTGCTGAACGCTCATTACATCTTGTTGCAATATCCTTTGTCCTAGCGATTAAACCATCTTTTTTCTGTTGATTGGTATATTTGTGATAAACAGGAAAAAATGTCGTTCAGCGGGACCCAACAGAAGTGCAAGGCTTGTGATAAGACTGTTCATTTCATTGACCAGTTATCTGCTGATGGTATTGCCTACCATAAGACCTGCTTCAAATGTAGTCACTGCAATGGACAACTTTCGGTAGGTCCTATATGCATGACAATTTATGTACTGTTGTCATCTTTCTTCATCCTTGTATCTGAGGTCTTAGTTCGACTTTCCTTTGCTCAAGTATCGCTTGTATAAAAAAATAAAAATTAACGGTTACAATCGTCTTCCTGTTAAATTTGAATTTGCCTCTTAGAAAAATTTAGGAACTTAATTAAGGACTAGGTTGTTTCTTATCAATGTGGGATGAGAAAATTCGAACTTGAGACATCTTTCAATATTAGAAATAAAAAAAAATAAAAAGAAAATTCCTTACACCAATAGCTACCAAATAAGATGTTGCCTTTGAATAAAAATTGGCCTTTGAAGGATATTAATAAAGAAATCGACGAGATTTGGATGGAGAATGATGTAGTTGTTTGTTTGTTTTTACAGATGAGTAGCTACTCATCCATGGACGAAGTTCTATATTGCAAGCCTCATTTCGAGCAACTCTTCAAGGAGACTGACAGCTTTTCTAAGAAATTTCAGACATGTAAGATTCCTTTTCCCATTGCAATTTTCCTGGTCTGTATAAAAATCTTCTTCCTTTTCCTTTTGTAGTATTGATTAGCTAAATTTCTTCTGTTCAACCTTGTCTGATGCAGCTGGAAAGTCACAAACTGAATTGGTAACATCGTATCCCTTCAATACATTATTATGTGTCTAATGTTTTTATTTTTATATAGACATGTGGTAAAACTTACACATTCTTTTCTCTTTGTATGTACAGACTAGGACCCCTAGCAAACTGTCCTCTATGTTCTCTGGGACCGTAGACAAATGTGCTGTATGCACCAAAACTGTGTATCCACTAGAGAAGGTTTGAATCCCCCTAAAATTCCAATTCAAAATTAATATTTTATTATTTTAGAAACTCACACAAAGAGTGCAGAAAAACAAACTGGGAGTGTAAATAACATTTTTGCCATAATTTGCGACAGGTTACCATGGAGGGAGCGTTCTATCACAAGTCATGCTTTAGGTGTAACCATGGGGGTTGCTTCCTCTCACCATCAAACTGTGCTGCTTTGGATGGCATTCTTTACTGCAAACACCACTTTGCCCAACTGTTCAAGGAGAAGGGTAGCTACAACCACCTCACCCAGACTGCTTCACTAAAGAAAAATGGAGCTCCAATGCCAGAACCGAAACCTAATGGATCACAAGCAAAACAGGCAGAAGTAACAGAAGAAGCAAAACCAGTAGCAGAAGCAGAAGCAGCCCAAGAGACACAAGATTCAGCCCCACAAGAGCAATTATGATAATTTGCACCAACCATGTTGCATTAAGTTTGTGTGTGGTGTTGGGATTTTTAGAAGCAGGTCCAAGGGGCTTCTATAATTGTGTCACTTCCACCAAATGCCAGATGGAGGGAAACATTTTCTTTGTAAAGCATTTGAATTGAAGTCTTGTGAAATTGAAAGGCATGTTGAACTGTGAATTTCAATATATTGAAGTGAGTCAAACTTAATTTCCTCCGGCAAATGCGACAAAAAATTGTTCCATCATGTGATTCTTTGTGGGTATTCATCATCAAGTATGAGTGAGTGATCAAAACTTGAACTAGACATGGTGAGTACATGTGTTTTCTGATTGTTAGGGTACATGCGTTTTGATTGAACCAGTATAGCTACATTTTACTGCATGTACATGAAGTATTCCAAATGTCTCTGATAGGAAGTCAAGGACACGTTCAATTGTTTTGGAACTGATGTGAACACATTATTTTTCTCCACATGCACGCCCCATGACCGTTAGATAAAATACAGTAAAGAAAATCAATAAACAAAAGCAAATAGAGTGTGCAAATGGAAATAAATGGTGTACAAAAATCGTCTCTCTTAAACTTATGGGATGTTAATTACTAATAGGTATATCGATATCAGCAAAAATATATGTTACAAAATAATATTGACTAGCAGTTCATCTACAACGGGCAGATTGCAAGGGCTAGTGGTGTATTTAGACGCGGTAAAAGGTCTCAATTTCTGCCACCAGGTGATGTTCACGGTCAAATTCTACGTAACCACGTTCACAGCCTGTGGTAGATTGAAAATAACATCACGCACTAAAGCCATTGTGGATCACTAATTGACCACGACCCAAGATTTATATGCGATCAAAAATTGTTATTTACCATGTAATTACTATGTCCGGGTAAATTTATATTTTTAAGGGGGCTCATTAAGTCCGTGGTAGATAACCTTCTTTTACAATTGATATTACACTGAAATTTACCGAAGCATTACCTTTTTCTTTAACGGCAATTTCTCTAAATATCTCACAAAGTTTTTGACGGCAATGTTGTGAAGCTAAAAATAATTTAAAAAATTATGAAAGCGACGCATGAATTTTTAGGTTAAAAAAATGAAATTACTCTCGCTGCACATTAGGATTTCTGCACGCATGTAGCGGACAATAACGGCTCAATCAAGGAAGAGTCAAAGGTGATCAATATGAAGAGAGATTTTTCAGTGTGACCGGTCCATGACCGACTAGCTCCGGGTTGGTATACCACTTGTCATTATACAAATGGTGGGACATGTGTGCTAAAAGTAAATAACTCAAAAAATAAAATTATTCACCACTTATATAAAAACATATGGTATATTACCCTTGTTCTAGTCACAATGAAAATTTTCTCCAATATGGAATTTATTTCATATTCCTCTCATCACTACTCATCAATCCCTTATTGATTTTATTCAAAAGGTAACTCCTTGTTATTTTTATTCAAAAGATAACTCCTAAAACTTCCTATTTAAATTAGGAATAATTTTCATGTTAATTGCAAGCTATTATTTCACCTAATATCTTGCAATTATTCACACATTATCACCCAATATGGCCGACCACTCTTCACCCAAAGGGGCTGACCAACCTCCTATATATACCTCACTTATCCCACTAAAATGCTAAGTCCTTTGCTATCCACAAACTCTTAAATACATTCTTTTCAGAATTCTAACTTTGACATCGAAGATTCTTCAGCCGAAACCCCCATTCATCGTGGGCGCGTGAGGCTTTTGGCTTTAAGCTTAGGTTTTATTAGTTTGCAGGTGCATTTTCGTTAAAGGAATAGACGACGGAAATTTACATGGGACGTTTTGAATTAGATGCCTCGTTTTTAAATGTTATTGTCTAAACATCTATTCCTTTTGCAAATTTGATTAAATATTTTCTCTACAATTTTGGTACTTTAATTTTATTTCATTAGAAGTCTATTTACGTTAGCATTCCCTTTTTTTTCCCTATTTTTATGCATTTCTTATTATGATGATTTAAGATTTTTTTAATTTTTATTAAAAAATTTATTTTAGTAAATTAAATAGAATGTAACAAAACTCGTTGTTAGGTACGTTTGATTATAATGGTACATTTAGTTACTTGATACATTTGAATTTTTGGTCCATTTGGCTTCTTGGTACATTTGAATTTTTGATACATTTGAATTTTTGGTACGTTTTGTTTTTAAAACATAAGTTTTATTACTTTATGTTCTAATAATGAGGAATTACCTTAATTAATTATTTTTTTATAGATATAGTTGTTAACAATGTAAAAGTTTAAATTACTTTAATTAATTTTTTTCTTTTTCTAGAAAGACTCATTAATCAACGGATAATAATCTTTTTGTTAATTCAAAATTATATGATTTATCGTTATTATTTAGCATTATCTACAATAATCCGATCAACTAAAAGTTGTTCCAGGGACTTATCTACAGAAAAACAAGATTATCTAGAGCATTGTGTATGAATCAAACATATTTTTAAACATTCCGAAAAGATGAATATTCATTTTAATATAGTTTATAATTGAGTACTTTTTTTTTGGAATTGATACGTTTTCGTTTGACGTTGGTACGTTTTCGTTTAACCTTGGTACATTTCCTTTTGGCGTGGGTGTATATTTAGATTTGAAAAGTTTAAATTTTTAGACTTAAATATAGTTGAAATTATTTAAAATATATTGCAAATATTTAAATGTAAATTAATTTGAAGTAGTTGAAGTCTGAGTATTTTAATCAAATGTTTCAAAGCTTAATCAAAAAACTCAAAAAACATAAATGTTTAATCTAAAAAGTCTAAAATGAGGCATCTAATTCTAATTTTCTCAATTTACATATACAAATGTCACTTTTTTTGGTCAAACAATAGGTTTGTTAAACTAAATATTAGATTAGAGAGCTAATAAGATTCAAATTCTGGTCATAGTGCAAGAATGACTCCTCTCTACCACTGACAGCCACTTGCGGGCCTGCGGCAATGTCACTTGACTTCCCATGGAAAATTGTAAAATTACACACGTCGCGCTCTCCGGCGGATGATAAAACTTGTTCGTTCCCCAAAACTCTCCAAAACCTTACTCTGTCACTCTCTTTCTCTCTGAGCTCAAAGCCTTTCACCCAATAATCTTACTATTATCTGAAATGGCATCCATGACCGATTTCTGAATTCTGATGAGCTCGGCTGCCAACACCACCCCTTTCTTTCTTACTCACACTCGTCTTCTTCCTTCACTTTCTTCCACAACCCAGATTTTCCCTCCTAGGAACAAGAAATGCGTTGTTTACAGTTCCAGGGAAGAGCCGAAGCTTGACCCTTTGGACCAAATGGAGCTCAAGTTCGGCCGCTTGATAGGGGAGGACCCCAAACTTACGACTGCCGAGGTATGTGTGTGTTGTGCTTGTTATTGCACACCAGTAGTTCGATAAAAGTTGCATATGAACTTGTCAGAATTGGTAGATAAACTTTTTAGTTTCTTTAAGATGTTATTGTTTTTAAATTATAGATTTTGAGTAGAAAAGGCAAATCCGGAAGCTAGTTCTCTGTTTATATGTAATGTATATATGTGTGTGTGTGTGTGTGTGTGTATTGTGAATGCTTAGTGGTTCTATTGGAATATAGTTTTATTTGAGAATGTTATTGTTTTGTATTGTAGATATTGGGTAGAAAAGCAAACCTAGAAGCTAGTTATATGGATATTGAGTACCTTTTGATGGGGGCAAGGAAGTTCGGACCATCGAAGAAAAGGAGGTACCTTTTGATGGGCCCAAGGAAGTTCAGTCATCTAGGTCATTGGATGGTTTGAACTTGGTTCGACCGGTGCCAAAGAAAGGAGTCAAATTGGAAGTGGATGATAAGCCAAGAGTGTCGCAGATTAAGAACCTGAGACTCCCAGTTTCCAAGCCTGTGGAACCTACTAAAGGTAGTGTTCCTAATGTTATTTTGAGAAAGCTGAGTTTGTTTAATGAGGATGACATTGAAGATGTGCTGTTGAGGTTGAGAATTAAACCAAATGTGTCGTTGAAGATGAGGGTTGAGCAACCAAAAGAGAAGTTTAGTGATATGACGTTGTTGAGAAAGCCCCAACCGGTGAGTGTTGATGAAAGTAGCGAAAATAAACAAGAACAATCTAGTGATGCAGATAAGAATATCATAGGTAATGCAGAAATGGAGAAGTGGAGTGAAGAAGAAAATGATAAAGTTGATGGTTTTACACTATTAGAAAAACCCAAAGCAACTGGCGTCAAAACAAAGAGTGAAGACGATAGTGAGCACTCTGAGAATGGTGAATCTAGTATGGCTGATACTGTTGAAGATAATGATAGCTCCAAGGATTTGTCCGAATTTACGGCAACTAACACAATACGTAGCAATCTTGAAGAATCCAAAGATGGTCTTGGTCAAAAGGATGATTCCCTTATAGGTACTACTTTATGTTGCGTTACAGAATTTCTTCAGCTAGGATTGTCAAATTAATATTGTGCTTGAAATTTTGAGGATTGCAGCCATATGAGCAGAGCACTATGGAGTCCAGTGAGGAGGTATCTGCTTCGAGTGAACTGTCTGATACAAACTTACCTGTTTCTGACGTTGACTTGTCGATAGACACTGCAATACAAGGAAAACCAAAAGGGTAAATGAAATGGGTTTTCATGTGTGTTTGTCTCCACCCTAAGTTTATATTTTGCCTGATTAGCAGGTTGTTTTCTTATAGATTAAACAAACCTGTTAAAGAAGAAAAGAGTATTATTGTTGGCTCTGAGAATTTGCGTTCTGGATCACTCATGCAGTTCAGTATATATTTCTTTCATTTAACTCAGTTGAATATATTTTTTTTTTTTTCTGTTACAAATCGTTCTCTATATATCTATAGGGGTACAAAGATGCTGATTGGGTTATGGCTGAAAATCTGGTTAAAAAAGGAGATAGGGGAGATGTAGAACTGATAAGTGCTAGCCCCTGAGGTTTTGTTGTAAGTACACTTTGGACAGCCATTTCATAGGCTTTCATTTGTTCTTTAGTGTTTTTGGTTAACTATATTTACTTTCCATGTGAGCTTTCTGAGTTTGATTTTACCTTTATGACAGGTATCTTTCCGCTCGTTAATTGGATTTCTGCCATACCGTAATCTTTCTTCCAAGTGGAAGTTCTTAGCTTTTGAGTCATGGTTCAGACAGAAGGGCTTAGACCCGTCATTATAAGGCGAAATCTAGGAATTATTGGAAGTTGCGATATTGTGGATGCGAATA